TTTTTTTTTTTTTTAAGTCAAACCAATGCTACAGTGAATAGTTTCCTCTGAAGTACTAACTACACAAAAAGTACGAGGGAAGGTTTTGTATGACCATCTCCAGTTTTGCTCAGTCCTTACCGACATTCGTTCTTAAAATGTCAGCTTAGGCGAAAAAAAAATGACAGCATGGGAACGAGACTGCTCGATGGTTTATTGCCCATGTAATATCCTTTCGTTTTATCATTGACATCAGCCTCGTTTCCAAGTCAATATACCATCGAATCGACGGTATATTGCTCGCATCTTTCAAAACTGGTTAACGCCCATTGGTTGAGCGGGGGCTTTAAGCCAATCAGAACGGGTAAAATATTTTGAAAGAATAATAGAAAAGTAACAAGGCGCTTCAAAGCAATGGGCAACGGTTAGGTGTTAAGCTAAAACGTAGTGTTCTGTTATTGTTCCATTTACTCAGATTTTTACGAGGATTGTGAACAAAGTTTTCCGGTTTATGTCGGTGTCCGGGATAAGCCACTCCATAAAACAATAGAGGTTGGTGTTTTCCATATAGAATTGTATATAACTAAAACAAAAAATCAGTAACTTTCAGTACCAATGCGTGTAAATGGGGTGTCAGCTTCTCGATGCGAGTAGCAGTAATCTAGACCACGGTGCTTATTAGTACTTTTACAGCCAGTAGGTAACACCAGAATTTATATTCAACAACCATATCATTGTCCAATTAAATGAAGATATTTTGATCAAGTGCAGCGGCTTTCAACTCCGATAAAAGTTAAGCCTGGTTTCCATTCAATCCTCCTTAAGAGAGAACTGAAGTCACGACCCGAGATAGAGCAATCTCAGGAAAAAATTGACATAGTCCGAGTTCAAGTACAGAAGGAGTACGATCCTGCAGTACGAAGTTATCGTGAAAGCACTTGATAAATTAGAGGTGATCGTTTCTACTAGCAATAAAGCAGGTCGTAACGAGGTCATGGAGGATGGTAAGAAATCCACAAGGAAATGAATGAACATATAATGCTAACAGAGAAATATGACTGGAAGTCTGGATTTGCATAAATTTGCTGCCGACAAATATGTCGCAGAATTATGAATAACCACACGGAGCTCATGGAGCTAAGGAAATAGTCTCTCGAGATCTGCAGACACCAAGATAAAGGCACGAATCCGAGGAGTTCAAGGAATGCTGAGTACTTTTCAATTGCACTTTGGGTGCACTTTGGGAGAGTTCGTCTTGAGGCATACTGACAATATGAGTCGTGCCTTGCAAGATTCCTCCATGTTAGCAGCCCAAGGCCAGCGATTAGCGGAGGACGTATGAAGACTCTATCTAGGGATAGAAGTGAAGCTATCTTCGATTTATTTTGGACAAGTTTGTTAAAGAAAAAAAGCGAAGTGGATGCAGTAGCCGAGCCACAGCTGTTAAGGAAACGACGAGAGTGTATTCGCACTAGATTTAATGGGAAGGACTTCAAAGTCTACCGAAGCATACAGGAAGTTCTTCTAAAGGCAGTAGCTGGCGAAGACCACAAAGAAGAACAAGCGATAATGATGGCCGTGTACGGGGACACTGACCTGCCGCCGTACAAGCTAGGACCCCAGCTGTCCCTTCTTCCAGACGTGGTGCAGACAATGGGGTACGACACTTCCCGATTCGACATTACTGATCTGCTGGGCTTCTTTCAGTCACTCGGAAATGCTCTCAAACTTTTACTTAGATTTGCACACTTGGTAAGCCTATTCTTGTCATGCCTGCCACCAACGTTGTCAGTGAGCGCTCCTTCTCCGCCTTAAAGCCATTCGGGACCTATCTGCGTTCAACCACGGGACAGGCCAGGCTCAACCACCTCATGCGGCTTCAGCATGTCCACAAGGAATTTGCTGATGGTATAGACGTTGTGGCGGTTGCCAATTTGTTTGTGGGAGACAACCACCGGCGCAGGCTTTTGTTTGAGACGTTTTCTAAATACGACCTTCCTATGAAGTCTGTGTTTGCTTCTAAAGCAACTCAAACATACTTTAGTGACCACGAAATTACTATGATGTCTCTGCAGCTAGGCGAAACATTTTCTGGTTTTAAGATACAGAGACCAGTCCAATGGGTCCTTCCGGCCTAAAGCACCCCTGCTTTTCAAATACAATGAACTTATTAAAATCGATGTGCCCCCCAGTTTCTTAAGGCTAGCCACTGCTCTGATCAGGTAGGTCGTTTATGTAAATTAGAAATAACAGGGGGCCCATTACAGTTCCGTGTGGTACGCCAGATTTGTCTGGGAAACCAACTGGAGTACTAACCGTTAACGACTACACGCTGTCGGCGATTGCTCAGGAAGTCTTTAGGTTACCTTGGATACCACATTAGGCAACGTTTGTGTTTGCTCAAGCCGTTTCTTCACACCTTGCAAGGAAACATGAATATTAGGCGTACTATCGAAGGGAGAGATTCCATGAGGGGGTATGGATGACAAGTCCTCATCCGTGAATGCAGTGTCAAATTGCTCATAAAGAGCCTCTGCCTTAAAAAAAAGTATCACATGTACAGATTCTATTGTTCTGCAGTAAGGGGACATACCAATTACCTCGGACCGAAGAGGCTTTAGTTAGGACCAGGCCTTCTTAGTTGGAACTTAACTTGCTGCGTCATCTGGTGCAATCCCACCTGGGATATCATTCAAGTTGGTATCATTTGAGTACTTAATTTGCGTCTGGATCTCATTGCGCAAATATTTATAGGCTGACCTATGCTACTGCTGCTTTGTGTGCTTTGTCCTCTTGCAGTAGAGATCTCTCTTCTTCATCCTACGCTTAATAATGTATGAGTACTTAATTTGCGTCTGGATCTCATTGCGCAAATATTTATAGGCTGACCTATGCTACTGCTGCTTTGTGTGCTTTGTCCTCTTGCAGTAGAGATCTCTCTTCTTCATCCTACGCTTAATAATGTCGCTAATCCAAGGCAGAGGGCGCTTGCTTAGTAATTAAATAGTTCATATGCTTGTCAATTAAGGATTGTAGCTCACAAGAGACAACGGGCCAGTTTTCTTCTTCTTTTTTTTAACAGCTTTATTGGGTTTCAATACCTTATACATAATCACGTGAAGACTTTTTACAAGAGAAAAGAAAAATGAGAGTAAAAGAAAAGAAAAGGTGTAATACTCAGAGGGGCAAGCACGAACGAGACCATAGGGACCCATGCAAGGTACCGCCCCAAAAAATAGTCAAAAAAGCTAAAAATTACACGGTTTGTATTAACATATATAAATATCAAAAGGAAATATTGTGTGTGCTATTATAAGCGATGACATGGGCAGGATCTTACAAATGACCAAGTACACGGCAGTTCCACGCCAAATATAGTTTGCAGAAGGCTTGTCAGAGTTTGCTTCGAAAATTTTTTTAAGGTCGTCGATACTAGAGAAGCTGCTCTTAGGAGTAACTTTACAAATGGAGTTCCATAATTTGACAATCCTATTGAAGTAAGAGGCCTGAAATACGGAAGTTTGCAAATAGGAACTTTTAAGTTAAAGGAATTACTTTGCCTAGTGGACTTCAATACTGAGGCGTTATCTAATACCATGACCCTGGGCCTTGTTCCCCTGGCTAAGTTTAACTTTCTCTGAAATTCTTCTGTCGTCTGGGTCTTGGTCAATTCTAATTGTACCGCCCTGGAAATGGCGCACGTAAACAGGAAAATGTAACATTAATGAAGTTCAGCTTTGAGGTTTAACCTTTTGGCCGCTTCGCTTCTAATGAAATTCCTCCCAGCCCCAGTGTCCAGGTATGCCGAAAGAGTTTCTCCTTTTGTCTTTACAGGTATTGTGGCCTTTAATGACCATTCACGGGCTGAAGGAGAATAGCTTGTTAAGGCAGTTCCGTTGTCAACGGTTGGTCTATTCTTATCCTTGTCACAAAGACTTGTATGATGCCTTGACTTGCACTTGGAACATCCCCGGCGGCGACGTTGTTGCTCCCAGTGCCCTGTGCGGCTACGGTTGAAACACAATTTCTATTCTTGGAAGAACTGTCTTCTTGTTTCTATTGTGTTAATGACCTCGCGTGCATCTCACCAATGCTTTCCCTCACAAAAGATACAGACTGGGGCTCCCTTTTCGTTATTATACCAATGCTTCTCTCTTTTCGGTCGCACACTTTTCAACAACTGCCAAAGTGTTTTTTTCAACCACTGCCAAAGCTTGTTTATCAAGGCCTCTATATCCCAGTTCTTCCACTTTTTGTCGGTTTCCACAATATCGGGCGTCACTTTCGGTATTTTGTTGAGAGTAGACAGCACGAACCCTCGAAGTATGTCTGCTCCTCCCATTGCCAGCAACGCATCGTACTTTCTGCTCACGCTCTCGTAAAATTCCTGAATCTTCAAGTAACTGGATCTTTTGACGACAGGAAGGTTGACTATTTTTTCTACGTGTGCGTTCGCAACAAGTTTGCTCTGGTCATAGTCGGATTTCAGTCTTTCCTAGGCTATCTTGTAGCCAATTTCGCCAGGCTTCAGGTTTGCTACCTTTGCTCGTACGTTTGGATTGACCATTTCCATGTGATGAACATGTTCTATAATCTAACCCAGTCGGTGGGCGATCCCTTGAACGGTGTTCTTATCAATTTGAGCAGTTTTTCTGTGCTTGAACGGGCTTCTTTCTCCAGTTCCAGCCGTTTATGCGTCGCCTGTAATTCTGCATCAATTTTCTCCTGCCACATACGTCGCTCGTGCTCTTCTTGTCGCAAACGCAACTCACTTAAAACGGCGCTCCTCTTCTCGCTATTGTTCTTGTTTGGCTTCAAATCGGTTTCTTTCCATTTCCTCGTCTATTTCCTCTTATCTGTTATTTAAGAACTTCGCAAGCTTTTCTTTGTCCACAAGAAATGTGGAATACCTAGCCTTCACGTCCCACTTCCATTGTCTCGCCGATCAAGGGGATATAATAGAAAAAAGATAACACTAATGCGATTCTAAAAGAGTCACACCCGGTTTAATTGAGTGTCACGACATTTCCGGTCACTCTCAGGTCACTGCCAGAAACAGGTCTTGTATGGCCGCTGACAAACTGAATTAATCCGAGTTAATAATTTCTGAACGAAAGCATCGACCTGTTAACCCGTAACAAATTTTCTGTAACAGTCTGTCAGCTGACCGACCTGGTGGAAACAGTTTTCTCTAAGGGATTAGCACTTGGCCTTATCAGCAGGTTGTGGACTAGGGATTTGTAGAGAGACATTCTGTCAGGCGAATTTATTTAATCACAGTCTTTACACATCCATTTCCTCGCAGGCACTTAGGGACGTTCGAATCTAGAAAGCTAGTTTCGAAATTTTTCAAGTTGAGCAGCCTATCGGTAAGGTCAGCCCCTGGGTAAAAGTCCTCATCTATTCGGAGACTTGTGCTTCTGTCGGTTGGCAAGAAGGTGATTGGATAAACGGTACGCCATGGAACAGTCAATATGAACGTACAACACATCTTCATGGTGGTTTGTCCAAAGCGTCAACGTCATTCAGAAGCCATTACTATTCACTCGCCCTGTAGAAAGTATCACATTCATCTTAAGACTGAACGGAGAAAGACAAAGAATTCATTAGTAGGATGGTGACCGCTCCAGGCCGGCTTGTCAGGACGAATGCACGCTTCACCTACATATTTCTGCGGCCTTGGATTTCTAGTGGGGACCACATACAGTTGACCTTTTTTTCAACCTTTCGGGCACGTCTGGTCCGGAGAGAACAACTGGATTTCTCTCCCCTTACCTACTAAAACACAGGAAGCTCGGTATGAAGAAAGGAACTGTGGTCGTCGCGTTGTAGACTTCAGCTCCTTGATTACCCCTACAGCTTGCAAGGATACGTATGTTCCTTCCGGCAGTAACAAGGTCTTCTCCAGGGCCAGGTTTCTAGAGCTCTCCATATGTAAGCAGGGACAGCTACGTTATTAGATTCCCAGCAATTAGTTTACGAACTGATCCCTGTAGACTTGCATTTGTGTGGATATTCTCTATCCTCAGGAAAAATTCTTAGGCTCTAGTTTTTTCGGGCTGCTGCATTGTCGAGGGACAGAAAAATGCCATTTAGTATGTTTGAAGTGTTTTTCCTGCCGTCTAAACTTCCAAAACAAGAAGAAATAAAGTTCTCTTATACTGAATGGACCTTGAGCACGAGGTATATTCTAGGGTATCAGTTTTCACACTTGTCAAGTGATTCAGGTTTTTTGCCATACAGTGCAACATTTTTCCTCAACCTCCCACCCTTTGCCATTTGAACAAAAAAAGTTTTGGTTTGCCACCAATTTATTAGGTTCTGCAAACTTTTCCTCTTTCTCCCTTTGTCCTTTGAAGGTTGCGAAGAAAGTGCTGTTGCGTTGTCGTATGGCGGACAAATGACATTCATTTTATGAGAACTGATAAAGCTCCTTTTTCGGAGCGACAGTTGTATCATATCCGACTTGTCTTTAGCACTTTACAATCATCTATTTAATTCAAATTCATCATTTAAAAAGTACTAGTTTATGGTTGTTTACCATTTTACCACGAATTCCCGGAAATTCCAGTTGGGATGTAAATGGTAAACGTTATTTTTGGTTCGTCGCACTGGAAATTCCCTGGACGAACGGAAATTCTGAAAAGGTAGTCCTATTTTCCCGACTGGGACGTTCCGAGTGGAAATTCGTTTCTTGAGTTTCGTACCAGATTCATGTTGTAACTAAAATCCCGTCTAGCGCGGCGCGACGATTCGGAAATTTTAGGCAAATGGTAAACGACAGGTACTGTTCTTACCGACCGAAAATTCCCAGCCGAAATTTCCTGATATTTTCTATAAACGGTAAACAGCCTATGTAACACTTATAACATGAGGATTATAAGTTATTGGAGCAAATGATTTCTGAGCTCATCTTGCTTTTTCAGCTTGTCTATTTTCTTTTATTTATGCCGTGTTTGTGGTTTTCAATTAATCTATTTTATCCATTTGATCTGTGTACAGGGTTCACCAGTGGTGTGCGAGAACATCTTACGAGGAAACGTCCAGCATCTCAAAAGACTTCTTCGTCTCAACCATTTAAATGTTGCGCGAATTAAAGAGCTGGAATTTTTTGATGCTCATTTCATCGAGTGCGAAATGGTAAGCAAACTCACAACCGGCTTTGTATCCACGAGCACGTAGTCAAAATTACAAATATTTAACAATGCACGACTGAATGGGGCTAATATGTAATATGAAGGTGTCTTTCGGAGCTCGACCTTCGGCCTCGGTGAATTACACCTTCCGAGAAAAGCGAAATTTAATCATTACTTTCATTCACGCAGAATTTCATCTAACACTTTCTTGTTCCTTTAAAGTTTTAGAATATGAACCGATGTTTTCTTTTTTGTAGGTATATTCCTAAAAAGCAGCTAAGGTTCATATTTATCGAGTGGCTTTTTTTGCAGGTTCTTGTTTATTTAATTTAATTTTTATTGTTTGTTTGTTTGTTTGTTTTTTCAGTCATTACTAGCTTGGAAGTAGTGAGTAACAGTAGCTGTTTTTTTGAACTTCTTGTTTCTATTTTCAACCCGCAGAAAAAAATATATTCTTAAAGCTCCCTTTTTTTATTATACCTAATAAATCAAGGCTATGCATCCTTGTCTGAGATCTCAAAAACATGCGTTATTGTAAGTGACCAAATAATTACGCTCGAATAAAGGCCAATTATGGCTACGGCTCAACTAAGAGGCAGCTCCTGAAGGCCAATGAGGCTAGAAACGTGTAGGTTGCGTCGGCAAAGTAATGTCCAACAGAAATCATTACATAAATTGCTATTTATATAATTTATTCAGAATTTTATCACTGAATATCAACACGTCCCCAATGCGTTTTTTTTAGATGAAATCAAAGTAAATACTGTGGGGAAATCTTAAATACATTAAGAAGCTACCTGGTTGTACCCCTGCCAAATTAGAACCTTCCACTGTATAATATTACGCAAAAGCTTCAGACGATAAACGCAAGTAAAAAAAGGCAAAAAAATAAATCAGAAAAATATCGAATGATTTTTTTCGAGATACGGGATGGATGAATGAATGGATGGATGGATAGAGAAAGGTTGTTGTTCACTGCACTAACTCCTAGCCTCGAGGTGGCTGGGTCTATGATGTATTGTTTATGAACAGCACTTGTTTTTCCTTTCAGCTAACCTTTCGTTTCCCTAATTCATTTTTTTCACATCCATGTCGTGCATTTGGTTCAATAAGTCATCTCCTGCAATCAATTCCGATCCCCTCCGGAAAAGTAGGAGTTGGTTGGAATTTTGCACTTCTCGCACACTATTAACCCTATTCAGACCAGGAGGGAGGGGCTTTTGATAACTTCATAAACGTTCAAGCTATGTCCACCAAACTTAGCGACTTCGCCTAAAGTTTATCTGGGAACATTTTAATGTCGTCGTGACGTGTACATTAACATTCATGTTACCTTGGCAACCGAGTTTTGAGAGCCATGTTTTTCAAAATTGGCATTTTCTATAGAGAATAGGTTTTATTTCTATTTTTACTGATTGAATTATTATATTACTCTTAATTTAGCATTATTTTATCAAAGTTATTGTAACTTTCAATGAAATCCAGTCTTTTTAGTGACTAGCTTGAGAGTCTTAAAGTAAAATGGAATACATATAAATAATTCGAATTGGCGGATCCAAGATGGTGGATGCTTCCACTTTTTTTTATTAACTAACAACGTCATCATGACGTCATGCTGTCCTTAAAGATCATTTTTGTGTTAGCCAACTTCCTTGATTTTATCAGAGACCTTACTATTAATTTTAAGCATTCTTCGCTTTTTATCTACTTTGAGGGAAATTTGGATTCTATCAATAAATTCAACAAAATGCCGTCATAATGACGTCAGATTACGTCATTATGTCAATCAAGCTATGCCCAGTAGTTGGAAATAATGAGTACATTATTGTGTGTGATTTTGTTGGCCGTAGGATGGGTGGTTTTGAAGTTCTAGAGGGTGGCCTCGTCGACCCCCACCCCACTGTCGAAGGAAGCAAAAAAAGCCATGTCTGAATAGGGTTACGTAATGATTGATTCCTGATATTTTACATAGAGTAGAAATCTAAATATGTCCACGACCAGCAAAAATTACTTTAATTTGTTATACCCATGCTTACATTTTTACAGATTTCATCAGGAAGTCCTTGCGGCAACCTTAAGGAGTACGTACTTGATAGAAAATGCAAGGGGGAAGAAATAATCTCATTTCTTTCCCAGGTGGCGTCAGCCCTTCACTACCTTCATATTAACCATATCGTGCACGGTGATCTTCAAGCTGAGTATGTGAACGTAGAAACACCACAAAAGGTACGCGTACCCACCAATAGCCATTTTATTTCTCAACAACTAAAGATTCAATCCTTTTGGTGCGTGTTCTTAATGAGTTGAACAAAAACCTTTATTTGATACCGGTTCTCTCACCTTTGTCCGCCTTAAACTCCTATCGCAGCAAATCAGGTTGTATCAAAATTGTTTCCTCGGTTCACACAAAATAAGAATGATCCTGAAAGATACTCCTGGATTGTAGGGAATACTCCTCCCCCCTCCACCAAAAAAAGAAAAATAGACAAAAAGAGGGTTTTATTCGTACCCTTTAGACATTAAAATGTGTACATATCGTGCCACGCAGATTGCAAAAGTCGAAATATATGATTACGGCATACATAATGGAGTACTGAGCCATAAAAAATTATGGGAACTGTTTTTGATCAATTAAACAGTGGTAGGTGCTAGATATCGAAGACTTTTGGTGCCTAGTTATTTTGTTGTTTTAGAACTGGCACCTCTTAAGATGAAAATGAATTTAAGACACTCTCACAACACGAGATTCTGGTACCTTTTGGGGATGTTTCGAAACTTTTCGACGAGCAATCACATCACTTTTTTTGGTGGAGAACCCCGGGTTTTAAATCATAATTACTTTTGACGCTGTTGCTTGTTCAAAATAATCTATTATGTTTACATTCTAATCAATAGCGTGCAATGAATTTCCTTTCCAGGTGCAAGTTTCTCGCCTGGCTCGCTCCAAGTCCCTTTCGAGGCTTGATTGTGACGTGACCAGTACCTCTTGTGTTGTACAGGCTGACGTGCCCCCTGATTCGATTCGTTGGTGAGTGATATGGGAGCTATACGAAGAAGAGCAATCCAGAACCTTAATAAGAATAACCAAGGTTCTCTTATTTACCCTAAAGCTCAATCAGGCTCAAAGGAGCTTTTTTATCATCACGCCTGAAGCGATCTTATCAAAGAGGATTCTTTAAACCTCACCGAGAACCAAAGATGTAGGCCTTATATAGCACTCATCTGTACGTACTTGCCGAAAGGTTCTACGGATCTAAAGAAAATGCTTGGAATGCAGTGCTCGTACCCTCGTCTTGCGTTATACTTGTGCTGAATTTCATTCTTTATTTTTTCAAGCTATCCAAAAACTGCGTACGCACTGTACAAGGGTTGCGTACGTCCGTCAACACTTTTTAAAAATATGGTTGAACACAGTTTGAAGGATTGTAAGTTACTGAGATTCTTTGAAGACTCGTTGCAGGTATAAACTCCCAGAGATACTATATTTATAAATTATTGCTTTATAGGTTAAACGTAAGACTTCCATCGTTTCTATGAAAACATAGATGTTCTAAAACAAACGTTAAATTTTGAACGAGTAGGTTGGCACCAAATCTAGTCATTAGATTTGCGTATAAATTTGAGCATAGCTTGCAACTACGTGCCTCTTATTAGCCTCGTTTTTTTCGGTCCGTACTGTAAATTATGGATCCTCGTTTTTTTTGGCTTCTTCCTGTTTGGGGGATCGGAAACAAGAGCAGGAAGCGCCATTTCACAGTCATTTGACAGGCGTCAAAAAAGAAAGTTTTTTATTGGTTCACGAAAACAATAGCATATAACAAACTAAGGCTTTTCGAGAAAGTGAAAACAAATGCGCCATGTTGAAAAAGTTTATTCGGTCAAAACTAAGAGTACTTCAAGTTTTAGCTCGCTTATGTAACGCTGGAGTGTTTTGGAGGTATGTTTGTTATAATATTTGTCAAAGGAATTGTTCATTTTCTCTTAGGCAAAAAATGCATCTTGAATCTCTGCTTGTCGATTTTCGTTTTCTCAACTGCATACTGCGATAAAATTTTCAAACACTGACTTAAATTCCTATACGATAAGTTACGAGTTAGTTTCTTCCTCAACTTTTGTTCACAAATAGACACAGTTTAAAATGGTGAAGGAGAAAGTCAACATCCAAGTCTGCAAGGTTGACAGACGTCTTTTAACTTGATTTAAACCTTTTTCCGAGGTAAAGAGATTTAGAGGCCCGAAATGAGCATTTGCTTTTGAAATTCTGGTCAGTATAGCAAGTTACTGACCTCAAATTGACCAATCGCATGGCGAAAACAGACTCAGTCATATAATAATAACCCTTATTTCTAAAAGCAATTCAACCAAATCGTAGCAACAGTTTTTGAAATTTTAAAGAAAATGGCTGTCATGAGAAACTTGATTGTGTCACAAACCCCTACGTTCGTTTTTTTTATTTATTTATTTTTTTATCATTATCCTATCATTATTGACTGAATTGCGATGTAAAATGGAATTCTGCCAAATTGCGACAAGAGTATATCTTAAGAAATTGTGGTTTCTTTATATTGGCTATAAAATCAAAGTCATCAAAACAAGTGCTCTCTCATTGCCCCCTACGTACACATGCTTAACACTTGTGCGCACGCTGAAATCACGCAATATGGCAAAGGCGACGAAAACAGACTATATTTCTAGAGAGAACTTCCGGCCCCAGTTATTCAAAACGTGGTTAACGCTATCCACTCGATAAATCTTTTCAACAGTGCAATTGGTTTACCAAATACTTATCCGCTGGATAGCACTTTATCCAACGTTTGAACAACCCGGGCCTGGGCATTTTTCTCAGCTTCTCGTCGCGCTTTCTCCTTAAACAGCTCATTGGCTGCAAATCTCCTTATGATGGAGTTACGGATTTTTTGGAATACTCAATTTTTCGAAACTCCTGATATTTCGAATTAATTTTGCTTCCTTTCAAAATTTGGTCATCGATTTCTCTAACTTTAAAAAGCTAGGAACCAATAAAACCGGTTTTTGTCACACGCATTCCTGGATAACCGTTCCGAGGAAAGTGCAAATTTGTGGAATTAATATTACTAAGCAAATAACAAATGTCATTTTACCCTATTCAGACCAGGGGGTGGGGGCTGCTTTTGAGGATCCCATCGCTAAAAAGTTGAATAACTTTAAAACTGTTCAAGCTGTTACCACCAAACTTAGCGACTTTTCCTAAATTTATCTGGGAACATTTTAAAATCGTCGTCAACGTGCACGTCAGCATTAAAGTTACCATCTCAACAGAGTTTAGACAGTCACGTTTTCAAAATTTGTATTATTTTTTTCTAAAAAACAGGTTTTATTTCTATTTTCACCAAATGAAATATGCTACGCTTTATTTAGCATCATATAACTTTACTATGAAATCCACGCTTTTTAATCACTAGTATGCGAAAAAACACGAGTTTAATATGACCAGATACTGAGTTTAATTTTCAACACATGAAGAGCTTTGAGCCGCCCAGAACCTATTATGCAAATTAGCTGAGGGTACATTGAATGCCCCTCGCAGCTAATTTGCATAAGTAACTTAGTGCCATGGTTTGAAAACTCTCGGCTCTTGAGGTGTTAGCCGAACGCCCTACTCTTTTGTGGGCGATTCACTGAAGTCCTAATTCAAGCTACTGTAAACTGAAATAGTAGTGACCGCAATTACCGATTAAAGAAAGGTTCAAATCGTTTTCCGCGCATTTACTATCTCAGTTATAGTAAAACGGCATAAACATTTTACCTGGTGGCTTTTTCAATCTCGATAAGTCATAGAGTATGAAGTGGTAGATTCGGCAAGAAATCAGTTTTGTGACTGATAATTCACAGTGTAAGGCGCTGAATAGAAAGTAAAACAAAATCGCGGTCGTGAACTGGGTGTTTTGTTTCAGGGTAAGAACTTTTTTAAGATACAAGAATATCCCAGAGTTGATGATTTTGAAGGTAAGAAAAGACTTTATGGTGTTTAAACAGCGTGATTTTATTGCTAAGTGATTTACTGCAGTTGACTTTCATACGCTCGAAGCAATGATTTTATTGACCTATACAGAGGAAAAGGAGGCCGCTTTGTCACTGTTTTGTGAATTCGGGATTTCCTCGCAAGACCAATTTTGTCTGGAAATAGAAGTTAATTTATGGAGAAAAAAAGGAAAGCAAATATTTTCGAAAACTGTACGTGCCAGCAAGTTAAATTGGCAAGGAACACTGCACTGCAGATAAAACTACTGGAGGCAAGAGAATCGCTCAAAGTTTTCTTTCGACAGCCAAATTTATTACTAAATATTCCTCGGAACGTTTCCTTTCTATTAGTGGTGAGCAAATATATCTGAAGGCTTTTTAAAGTTCTGTAAGATTATATCAAACCCGATACTAGGTCAGATCATTGTCTCAAATCTTATAAACGCGCATAAACTTGCCGCATAAACTGTTGTCGACTTCATGAAATTAGATATATATATATATATAGACCAGTAGGTGAACTACTCAAATCCTGAGTGCATGGGTGTTTAATACAAGCCTGTTTCGTAGGCCACCGAAAAGGTGACTCACTCTTCAGTTAAACTCCATTATTACACTGAAGCGTCAGGGTCTACATCAAGAAGAGTGATCGCGTGATAAAAACGGTTACATATAACGTTTGAAATTTAGGGGGGGGGGGCTGCTTTTGAGGATCCTATCGCTAAAAAGTTGAATAACTTTAAAACCTTTCAAGCTGTTACCACCAAACTTAGTGACTTTCCGTAAATTTATCTGGGAACATTTTAAAATCGTCGTCAACGTGCTCGTCAGCATTAACGTTACCATCTCAACAGAGTTTAGACAGTCACGTTTTCAAAATTTGTATTATTTTTTCTAAAAAACAAGTTTTATTTCTATTTTTACCAAATGAAATATGCTACGCTTTATTTAGCATCATATAACTTTACTATGAAATCCAGGCTTTTTAATCACTAGTATGCGAAAAAACACAAGTTTAATATGACCAGATACTGAGTTTAATTTTCAACACATGAAGAGCTTTGAGCCGCCCAAAACCTATTATGCAAATTAGCTGAGGGTACATTGAATGTCCGCGCAGCTAATTTGCATAAGTAACTTAGTGCCATAGTTTGAAAACTCTCGGCTCTTGAGATGTTAGCCGAATGCCCTAGGACTTCAGTGAATCGCCCACAAAAGAGTAATTCAAGCTACTGTAAACTGAAATATTAGTGATCGCATTTATAGTTATAGTAAAACGGCATAAACATTTTACCTGGCGACTTTTTCAATCTCGACAAGTCAAAGAGTATGAAGTGGTAAATTCGGCAAGAAATCAGTTTTGTGGCTGATAATTCACAGCGCAAGGCGGTGAATAGAAAGCAAAACAAAATCGCTGTCGTGAACTGGGTGTTTTGTTTCAGGGTAAGAACTTTTTTTAAAATACAAGAATATCCCAGAGTTGATGATTTTGAAGGTAAGAAAAGACTTTCTGGTGTTTAAACAGCGTGATTTTATTGCTAAGTGATTTACTGTAGTTGACTTTCATACGCTCGAAGCAATGATTTTATTGACCTCTACAGAGGGAAAGGAGGCCGCTTTGTCACTGTTTTGTGAATTCGGGATTTCCTCGCAAGACCAATTTTGCCTGGAAATAGAAGTTAATTTAGGGAGAAAAAAAGGAAAGCAAATATTTTCGAAAACTGTACGTGCCAGCAAGTTAACATGGCAAGGAACACTGCACTGCAGATAAAACTACTGGAGGCAAGAGAATCGCTTAAAGTTTTCTTTGTACAGCCAAATTTATTACTAAATATTCCTCGGAACGTTTCCTTTCTATTAGTAGTGAGCGAATATATCTGAAGGCTTTTTAAAGTTCTGTAAGATTATATCAAACCCGATACCAGGTCAGATCATTGTCTCAAATCTTACAAACGCGCATAAACTTGCCGCATAAACTGTTGTCGACTTCATGGAATTAGATATATATATATAAGAAAAAAACAATAATTACTCAGGCTTAGAAAGAATGCTCAGGCTTTTCAATCGAGATGCATTTCCTGAAGGCTATCAAGTAAGGCCAGAATCGCTTAAACCCTCTTACGCATCAAGCAAGGTGAAAAACGAAAACGATGCCATCCGAAATCGGATTTCCGACTTTGACAAGCGACGCATTTCGCAACCAAAAACCCAATAAACAAACCAGCAATGAATACAGTAACAGAAGACTCTTGATAGCAGCTGTATTTCATTTTGTACATCCAGTGGGAAAAGACAGTTTAAAACATCACAAGT